GCTCTCTCTTGGTCCTTCTCTCCTGCTCTCTCTCGGTTCCTCTCTCCAGCCTCCTCCTCTGGTCTCTTGGCTCTGCTCTCCTCTCTTCTCTGCTCTCTCTTCTCTCCTTGATAGCTCCTCTCCTCTCTGTTTCTCTCTTATATTCTCTTTCTCTCTTTTTCCTTCGCCGCCCCTTCACTCCAGTCTGTAGGGTGTTCCCCAATAAACCCTTTCCCTTACTCCGGTGTCCGGTGTGCTCTGCGACAGCTAACAGTAAGATATAACAGTGACCATCTGTATTTATGGGGTACAGTGTGGCATTTCAATGTATGTCTACCGTGTGTGACGCTCAGAGCAGGGTAACTGGTACATACGTTGCCTCAGACATTTGACCTTTTTTGTTTAGGGAAATGACCCCATTTCAGATTAAGTGGAGGCTGGGTGGTCCACGTGATTTGCCCAGAGTGATAAAATCATAGGAGGGTACTTGAAGAAGTTCGTGGAAACCAGGATGGGCTTGGTGCAGTGGGCTAAGCTCCGCTTGGGCTGCCAGCATCCCACATGGGAGTGTTGGTTCAAGTCCTGGACACTCCATTTCTAATCCAGCTGCCCGCTGATGCATCCTGGGAGGCAGTAGGAGATGGCCCAAAGTGCCTGGGTTCCTGCAGTCACGTGGGAGACCGGGGCGGACTTCTGGGCTCCTGCCTTCAGCCTGGAGTGAGCCAGCAGGTGGAAGCGCTCTTTCTAGTTTATTGTTTGCCCTCTGTTGCTTTGCCTCTCAAATAAATATTAATTAATACTAAAAAACAAGTTGAAAATTATTTTAAAAGTTCATGCAAAACAGGATGAAAAATTTATTTTGGTGCAAAAATGATGAGAGCCATGCCTATGAGGTATCTTCAGAAAGTTTGGAAATGCCTATTATGAAAAACTGCGTGAATTCAAAAACATTTTTTGCACCAAACTAAATGTATCTTTTTATGATTTACTTATTTATTTTATTTTATTTTTTTGACAGGCAGAGTGGACAGTGAGAGAGAGAGACAGAGAGAAAGGTCTTCCTTTGCTGTTGGTTCACCCTCCAATGGCCGCCGCGGCCGGTGCACTGTGGCCGGCGCACCGCGCTGATCCGATGGCAGCAGCCAGGTGCTTCTCCTGGTCTCCCATGGGGTGCAGGGCCCAAGCACTTGGGCCATCCTCCACTGCACTCCCGGGCCACAGCAGAGAGCTGGCCTGGAAGAGGGGCAACTGGGACAGAATCCGGCGCCCCGACCGGGACTAGAACCTGGTGTGCCGGCGCCGCAAGGCGGAAGATTAGCCTAGTGAGCCGCGGCGCTGGCCAATTTACTTATTTATTTAAAAGGCAGAGTTACAGAGAGGGGGGAAAAAGAGAGAGAGGAAGAGAGACCTTCCATTTACTGGTTCACTCCACAAATGGCTGAAACAGCCAGAGCTGGGCCAGGCTGAAGCCAGGAGCCCCAGAACTCCTTCCAGGTCTCCCATGTGGGTGCAGGGACACAAGCACCTGGGCTATCCTCAGCTGCCTTTTCAGGCACATTAGCAGGAAGCTGGATCAGAAGTGAAGCAGGGGCCTCCACTGTGTTGTAGCGGGTAAAGCCACCGCCTGCAGTGCTGGCATCCCATATGGGCACCTGTTTGAGTCCTGGCTGCTCCACTTCTGATCCAGCTCTCTGCTGTGGCCTGGGAAAGCAGTGGGGGATGGCCCAATCCTTAGGCCCCTGCACCCAAGTGGGAGACCAGGAAGAAGCTCCTGGCTCCTGGCTTGGGATCGGCGCAGGTCTGGCCGTTGCATCCATCTGGGGAGCGAGCCAGCAAATGGAAGACCTCTCTCTCTGCCTCTGTAGCTCTGCCTTTCAAAGAAAGAAAGAAAGAAAAGAAAAATAACGAACGAAAGAAAGGAAATAAAGAAAGAAGCCAGAACTCAAACTGGTGCTCATGTGGGATTCTGGTATTGCAGGCATTGGCTTAACCTGCTGCACCTCAACGCTGGCCCCTAAGCTTACCTTTTAATACCCGTTTCCATCAACTTTTGCAGTTCCCTGCGCACAGTGGAGCTCTAGTGGGGGCCCCGTCTCTCTTCTCCAGGGCCCCGTGGGTCACAGATCTGGTTATGGGGGGCACGGGCTTCTCCCTTCCTCGGAGGGTGGGAACAGCCCCTCGGGGTGGGTTGGCCACGCCCCACCTGTCAGCTCCACCTCACTATTCGCCCGAGACTCTTTGCCCAGGAGGTTCGGCTCTGAAAATATCTTTCTGGCCCACTTCAGTGGCAAGCAGCAGGAGAGAGCGCACCCCAAGTCTTCCGGTGCCTCCACTGGCTGTGCCACGCCCCATCTGAAGTGCTTCTGCGTGGTCCCTGCCCAAAGCCTCACACTTCGATGCCCCTCCATTGCCCCCCACCCCGTCCAGGTCTGTGGGAGCTCCTTTGCTCCCTCCCAGACCTGCGGGAGGGCGGCCTCACCTCTGGCCTGGCAACAACAGCAACGCTCCTCCCCCCCGCCAACGTGGGAGGCCCCTCCTTGCAGAGCACCAGGGATCCGGGTTGATGTGACCACAGCCATCTTGCCCTCCAGGTGACCCTGGGAGTCATCTGGGCTCCAGCAGGTAACAGAGTGTCCAGATAACCTGTTATCTGATGTTCTTATCGGACGCCTGGACTGCCTCTTATCTGATGCCTGGAGCATCTCCTGTGGATGTCAATATTTCTCGACAGTCTTAGGTGCACTGGGATTGGCCACGGGACACGTCTATAAAACCTGTGTTCTCCTGCCTCACGTGCACTGAGCCATGTGTCCCGAAGCCACCCGAGACTAAGTCCCCACAGGAAGTCGCACCTTGTGTAACCCCGGATTATCCTCGTCCATCTGCCCCTTTGTTCCTCACCTTCTGCCCCTAGCGGCTGCTTCTGGAACTGGGTTTCCTTGAGCCACCTGCTTCCAGCAGGCTGCCCTGGGGAGCACGGCCAGCGGGGTGACTGCAGAGGGGGCAGCATCCCAGAGACCTGCTCAGAACACAGAGCAGGGCTGACCTGAGGGCAGGGCAGGTGCAGGCAGTGGGCAGGAAGGGAAGCGGTGGAACAGCGTGCAGGAGCACATGGGGCTGCTGGATGATCAGGAAAGGCGGCCAGGGGATGCCTCCCACAGGGGCCTGACGGTCTCCTGTGGGGACCACCCCCAGCATTCTTTGGGGCCAGGCTGGTGACCATGATGGAGCCTTGGGTGGTGCAGAGGCCCTCCGTGAGCAGGGCAGGCAGAGGGGCTGGTGTTTCGCGGCTGGTGGCAGGCCAGGGAGGAAGTGACGGAGGGTCGCTAGAGGAAGATGGCTGGGAGCAGGCAGGCACATGCTCCTAGCAGAGGGGAGGAGAGGAGGGTCACAGGGCATGGGGGAGGGGCTTCATCCATCCCCGCCCCCCCAATAGGCACAGATCATCTAGAGTTAGAGGCAGATGCGAGGCAGAACAGCTAAATCACTCCAAAGTGGTCCCCAGAGAAGCTGTGAGGCGATTTCAAAGTTTGTGGAAAATGGGATTAAAAGGGTTTAGGACTGGTGTGTGCAGGGGGGCAGCTGTCACTTGGGACACCTGCGTTCTATGTCAGAGCCCCGAGTCCAGGTTCCTTCCTCCCTCCCTCTCTTCTTTCCTCCCTTCATAGATTTATTTGTTTGAAAGGTAGAGCTACAGTGGGGGGGGGGGATACTTTCATCCTCTGGTTCACTCCCTAAATGGCTGCAACGGCCAGGGCTGGGCCAGGCTGAAGCCAGGATCCAGGAGCTTCTTCCGGGTTTCTCACAGGGGTGCAGGGGCCCCAGGACTTGGGCCATCCTCCGCCTCTTTCCCAGATGCGTTAGCAGGGAGATGGATGAGAAGTGGAGCAGCCGGGACTCAAACTGGCGCCCACATGGGATGCCGGCACCACAGGCAGCGGCTTTACCCGCCACGCCACAGCGCTGTCCCCAGTAAATCTTAGAAAACAATCTGGAGGCCAGCACCACGGTGCAATAGGCTAATCCTCCGCCTGCGGCGCCGGCACCCCGGGTTCTAGTCCTGGTCGGGGCGCCGGATTCTGTCCCGGTTGCCCCTCTTCCAGGCCAGCTCTCTGCTGTGGCCCAGGAGTGCAGTGGAGGATGGCCCAAGTGCTTGGGCCCTGCACCTGCATGGGAGACCAGGAGAAGCACCTGGCTCCTGCCTTCGGATCGGCGTGATGCGCCGGCCACAGCGCACCGGCCGCACCAGCCATTGGAGGGTGAACCAATGGCAAAAGGAAGACCTTTCTGTCTCTCTCTCACTGTCCACTCTGCCTGTCAAAAATTAAAAAAAAAAAAAGAAAACAATCTGGAAGGTGGAAAAACAAAGTTTGGGAGCTCTGGGAAGCAAAGTGCCCGAGATCCCGAAGCAGTTAAAGACCACGTGCAGGAGCAGGCACGGGATGTGGGGATGGTGAGAGCAGGCACGGGCTGGCGTGCACTCGCCCAGGCTCCACGTCACAGCGCACGGAGCCTGGTCCCGCTCCAGCTCCTCGCTAATGCAGACCCTGGAGGCAGCAGCGGCGCCCGTGGCTGGGTCCCTGCCACCCACGTGGGAGACACAAATGGAGCTCCGGCTCCCAGCTTTGGCCCCAGCCTCATCCTTGCCGTTGTGAGCACTTGGAGTGGACAAGCGGTTGAGAGCTCTGAGAAACAGAGACGTGGGCAGGCCTGCCAGCCCCAGGGCCAGGCTGCTGCTTCAGGGCGGAGCTGCTGTGCGGGTCACTGTGTTCCGGACACCGCAGTGCAGGGAACGGCCATGGAGCGTCTCTCTGTGGACAGAGCCCGGGAATGTGCATTCCAGCCCCCCCCCCTCCCATGCTCTTCTCCGGGCACACCCGGGGGAAGTCGGCTCCGCCTGGGGGCGGTCGCACCAGCTCTGTGCAAGGCTCTGGAGCCGCAGCCACGGCTCAGGTCAGCCTGAGCCTCCTCGCCCACTCCTCCCCACCACACCAGCAGGCCGTCAGTTCACAACACACACGTGAAAGGAAAAAAATAATTTAATTTAACATCAGTGCCTACGCAGCCCACTGGGCGGACAGCCAGGGTTCCCCACAGATCTGCAGGCACAGAAGCCGCGGTGGCGGGTTTGTAAACACAGGTTTTCCTGGGACATACATGGAGCTGTCTGCACCTTCAGCCTGGGCCAGAGGATCTTTATTTGAACACAAAATGATTGAAACGAATTTTTCAAAACCCTCGGAAGTGGGAGGAGGCAAAGTGGCTGGTGAGCCTGATCTGAGGCCGGGGTTCAGACTGTGCAGAGCAGAGAGCCCTGGGGCTGAGAGGGGTCAGGGCTGGGGAGCACCTGCCAGGCTGAGGTCGCTGCTCGGCGGGCAAGGGATGCAGCCAATGACCACTAACGGCTGGGCGCCACCGGGCGGAGCACCACCCAGGGAGCTGAGCCCCTGCCCGCCTGGGAAATGGGCTTCCACATGACCTCTCTCCCTCCCTCTTGGCCACCCCGAGACAAGCGGCAGCTGCAGGCCCAGCCTGAGGCACTAGGACAAGCACCCCCCCCATCCCAACAGGCTCACCGCCCTGCAGGGGAGCCCACAGGCTGGGCAGCAGCGCAAGCCGGGAACACTCCAGCTGTGGCTTTTTTGAGGTTTTTGGCCAGGGGCATCAAACCAGCAGAGAGAATTTGAGTGAGCCTCGGGCCCCTGGAGCTGGTGTTTTCTGAGAGCCAAAGGGAAACCGGCCTCCGCCTGCAGCCACACCGCTGCATGCGCAGGCGCCCCCTGCTGGGCATGGCTAGTCTAACACCTGCGTTAGAATCCGATTTTTTTTTTTTCATCTATTTGAAAGGCAAAGGAGAGAGGAAAGAAGGAGACAGTGAGAGAGAGAGAGAGAGAGAGAGAGAGAGAGAGAGAGAAAATCTTCCATCTACTGGTTCACTCCCCAGATGCCTGCAACAGCCAGGATCTCCCATGTGGGTGCAGGATCTCCCATGTGGGTGCAGGGGTCCTAGCACTTGAGCCATCCTCTGTTGCTTCCCGGGGTGCACATTAGTAGGGAACTGGATGGGAAGCAGAGTGGCCAGGACTCGAACTCAGGATGCAGGCACCCCAAGCAGTAGCTTAACCTGTGGGGCCACAACACCCCCCCCCCCCCGCCCTGCCCGGGATCATCTTCTTTCAAGGCAAACTCCTGATTGTCTGCGCCATTCTAGAAGCGCCACTGAGGGTATTCCCCAGTTCTGTGGCCAGGAAGTTGCTGGCACAGAGACCCACGCCTGCTGCTGTGAGTAGACGGCCCCACAGCCGAGCAGCCCAGAGCATTCTTTGAGTCCCAAGGGGACGTTCGCTACCTGCTGACTTCCAGAAAGAAATCTGTTTTCAAAAGAAACCACACCCGAGTGTCCCGGACTCAGTCCTCTACGTCACTGTTCCTGGGCCGGGCACCGTGGTGCAGCGGGGTAAGCCGCTCTGGGGACACCCCCCCCCCCCCCGCATGAGTGCTCCCTGCTGATGCGCCTGGGAGGTGGCGGGTTGTGGCCCGCATACTTGGGCCCCTGTCACCCACATGGAAGACCCGGATGGAGTTCCTGGCTCCTGGCTGCAGCCTGGCCCAGCCCCAGCTTCTGCAAGCATCTGGGGTGTGAACCAGTAGATGGGCGATCTCTCTGTCATTCTGCCTTTCAAATAAAGTAATTAAGTTAAAAAATAAATAACTATACCTTCTCCTCATACAGATTCTATTCTTGAGAGAACAACAGGAATTGAGAGCATCGCCTGATTTTGTCTTTAATCCAGAACCTTCAGATGAGGCTCAGGAAGTCACTTCCATTGTGCGGCTCAGGTGCGACCAGGTGTCAGATGCACCTGCCTGCGCCCGGCCTCCTGAGGGCCCATACACTTCCCTTTCTGAGCCCACAGCTTCTAGACTTAACAGAGGGATTCTCTTCTGAGATAAGAGGAGAGTGTTAGGTGGGAGAGCCGGAGAGAATGTACGGATGCCTAGTTTGAGTCCTTGTTATAAATGTAAATAATTACCCCAGGATCCCTGTCGCCACCGAAGACGCTAAATCCTAACACCTTCACCTTCAGAGAGGAGCCCGTGTGTGGGTCACTCACTGCCTCTCTGCTCCCCTGTCCCCCCCCCCACATAAACTAGCAGGTGCATTAAGGCAGATTCCCTCCCCACTCACCCCAGTTTAGTCTTCCTCAAAACAGGCAGACCTGGGGAGAGAGGGAGGGCCGGGGTGGGCGTCCCCACGGCTTCCCTGAGATTCCTCTTCCTGCCCCCGGGCCCAGCCCCTGCACTCAGGAGGGAGGCTGTATCGTGAGTGACAGTGCCTGGCGGAGGCAGGAGTCTGGGTTCTGGCCTGAGCTGGGGCCCAAACACGGTCTACTTCCGGGGCTGGTCGCCCACACGCGGGGAGTCCAGGAGGCCCTGAGACTGCGGTGGGCAGCTGTGCTGGGCTGTGCTCACTCACGGCGCTCACTGCACAACCTGCAGCCTGTGACTGGCTCCCCTGCTACCCCGGGGGGTTGTGCAGGGGCTCCGCAGGATGGGGGCACGGGTGCGGCTCCCCCGCTTTGTAAACAGCACCGTGGGGCCTCAGGACCCCCAGGCCCGCGGGCTCACAAGCCTGCCGGGGGTCACATCCTATCGGCTGCCCTGAGTCCCACGCCAGCTTCAGGCGAGCAGCCAGGTGTGGGTGGGACTAGCCGACGGAGGTCTGGAGGTAGAAGCTGAGCTGGCAGCTGTCCCGCCGCCAGGGGGCGCGAGTCTCACCGGTGGGGGCTCCGGGCGCAGCAGGCACCTGCCCCCGCTTCCTGCAGCGGGCAGAGGCGGGCAGAGGCGCGCAGAACCGCGGTCCCCGGAGAGGCGGCATCTGTGCACATCCCAGCGAGGGCACAAGCTCAGGTGCTGGGGAGTTCCCCCGCGGTCCGTCTGGGTGGCTGGGGGTCTCCCGTCTTGGAGAGTGCGGGAGCCCCGGGAGTGCTGGCTGGGGTCTCGGCCGCCGGCTGGGGACAGCAGCAGCAGCAGAGCGCGAAGAGCCGCGTGCGGATGGCGCGGGTGCACAGCACGAACATGATGCAGTTGGCGCCTCCCTGGAAGGTGTTCCCGATCCCCTGCGGGAAGGAGAGGAGAGGCTGGAGCCAGCCGCCCCCCGCCTGGGAGCTGGGAGCTGAGGCAGGCCCCACGGCCTCTCTGCCCACCCCCCGGGGCTGGTCTGGGAGGAGCTTGGCCACAGGGGCTGGCCCAGACCTCTGTCCAGGTCTTCTGGGTTGAGAAGGACCCAGGATCAGTCAACTCTGTGACAGCCACTACACCTCCAGGCTCCCGAAGTGCATGAGAACCACACCCGCCCTCCCTGCTCCGCTCAGCCAGGCTGGCTGGGGCTGACAGGGGCCCGCGGTGTGTGAGCGTGGGCGTGAGGTCGTGGGAGGAGGGGCAGGCTGGGCTGTGGGACGCGGACTTACGTGCAGAACGACCAGCACCGGCATGCGCACGGCCGGGGAGCCGCACAGGGTCAGCACGAAGCGCACGGTGCTCCAGATCCGCAGGCAGATGAAGATGAGCGGGATGAGCACCAGCTTGGTGTCGGCCACCGAGGCGGAGCGGCGCTGCAGCTGGTGGGCCTCGCACAGGATGGGCCGGTACTCGGAGAGGGCGGCGCGCTGCGCGGGACAGGGCGGGACGTGAGCCCAGCGCCCTCCGCCGCGCCCGCCCCTGCCTTCCCCTAGCCCGGGCCACGGCCCACACCACGCGTCCCGCAGGCTGTCTTGGGGCTGTCTGAAACGGCTCACTCATGCCTCCCCGCCAACGGACACCCAGCCCTCCCAGCCCGAGGAGGGCCCACCAGCCGCGGCTGCTCAGCAGACCCGGGATCGGGACACCTCTGCCCACTGCCAGCCACACCCGGCCCAGGCACTGTCTCCATCTCTCCGGACAGACACCTTCCCTCTCCCTCCCCGCTTCCCTCCTCCGTTCTGTCCGTTCTAATCCCCTGAGCCCTGGCAGGGGCCTTGGCGGCCAGAGTAGATTAGCCACATCCTGCACCCAAAGCCCCTTGGGGGCCCCATTTCAATGTCCCCTGTGACCTTCCACCAGGGGCAACGCTGGCTTCGTTCTGACCTCACTCCCACCACTTTCCCCAGTGCCTTCTGTCCCTGGTGGGCCCGGCACCCCCCACCCGGCGCCATCACAGCAGCTGTCCCTGCCCTGGGAATGCCCTTCCTCACCCGGCTCACTCTCACCCCGGCAAGTCTCTGCTCTAAAGTCAGCTCGGGGTGAGGTCTGGTGAACCCCTCGCAGGGCGCAGGCGCCGCCCGCACCGTCCCAGCCCCGCTGCGTCTTACTTCGTGTCTGCTTTCCTTAGCGGCTGTTCTTGAAAGATTGGTTTATTTATTTACTTATTTGAAAGGCAGAGTGACAGAGAGGGAGAGAGTGGGGGTGGGGAGGAAGAGAGAGCTTCATCTCCTCGTTCACTCCCCAAATGGCTGAACAGCGAGGCCGAGCATGGCCGAAGCCAGGAGCCTGGAGCTCCGTCCCGGTCTCCCACGTGGGAGGCAGGGCCCGTGCACTTGAGCCGTCCCGGTCTCCCACGTGGGAGGCAGGGCCCGTGCACTTGAGCCGTCTCCTGCTGCCTTTCGGGACACATCAGCAGGGAGCTGGGTGGGACATGGAGCAGCTGGGCCTCTACCTCACCAGTGGTGGCTTAACCCTCTGTGCCACGATGCTGGCCCCGCCTCACGCTTGACCCTCGGCTGTCACTCAGCCCCTCCCTCATGCTCCTGGCTCGTGCTGGCCCTCCCCCTCCAGAATGCAGCCCCCCAGGACCCAGGTCTGCTTGGTCCCCAGTGGGCCTGCGCCACAGGAAGGGCAGTGAGGAAAGGGGAGCTCGCACCATCCCTGGCGTCCTTGTTCCCGGGGAAAGACAGATAAAAAAAACTCATAATGAAGACGCGTATTTGAGCCTCGGCCAGCGTCTGGGACACTGAAGGCCCGGGGGGGGGGGGCCTGGTGTCCAGCAGCGCCTGTGTCCTGGAGAGCCGCCGGCCTGGGCGTCTCTGCACACCTGAACCTCTGAGTGCACCTGCACGGAGCACCTGCCTCCCTCCCCTCCTGCAGCCTCCAGTGGCAGCCCGGGAGACTGGACACCCCGCCCACCTGCCTGGGAGCCCCGCCCACCTGCCTGGGAGCTCCAGAGGTGGTGTGGGCTGGGGGGGGAGGGGGAGCTGGGCTGCCCCTCCCTAGCACAAAGCGTGCTCCTGGCATTTTATTTTTAGCTCTGTTCCCACCCAAAGGCAGGAGGAGCCTGCACACCCACACCTCCTTGCCCACGGTTCTTTGCTGTTTTCTGAAAACACCTGCCCAACTGTAGAAGAGGATCCACAGTCACGTGCAGGGTTCAGCCTTGCAGGCATGGACCCTCCACCACCTACACACACACACGCACACGCACACGCACACGCACGTACACACAGGGCAACTCCTGAGGGCAGAGCCTGTCGGAGCTCCTGAGAGCCTTCAGCGGGGAACCCAGAACCTTCCAGGGCAGTGGAAAAGGCGGGAGGTGAGACGGGCACTCGCGACTCGGCTGGAGACTGACTACAAGGCCTCAAAGAGGATTCAGCCCGGCTGGCCAGCCCCTGCCAGGTGCAGCCAGGGCTCCCCTGAGCCAGCCTGGGCTGCAGGGCAGGGGAGGCTCAGGTAGACTCACACGGAGAAGCAGAAGGCTGGGCCTGGAACACAGGGGAGACAGGTGTGCTTAGGGGCCCTCGGGCAGAGACGCCCCACAGACGGGCACACAAGGGGCCGCCCCAGCCTGCAGCATGGCTGAGTCTGCATTCACAGCGATCCCTCCGGATCCCTCTCACTTCCCTCCCCTGGCCACATTCACCTCCCACCAGGGCAGCTGGGGGCGGGACCCTGAGCCACACAGCGCCTTCCCGCCAGCCAGCAGCCGCTCAGCAGAACTGCGTGCCGGTGGCCGGTGGCCGAGGGCAGGCTCTCCTGGCCGGGAGGAAGCCCCTGCTTGCACACCGAGTGGGTCTGTGCTGCGAGTGGCACCACGTAAGTTATGTCTAAAGGGAGGAAACGGAACGACTGGCCCACGTTGTGGGAGCAGAGCCACTCTCCTTTCTGGCCGGCCCAGCCCGTCGACGTCTGAATTCCTGGAAAGCCTACCCCCGAGGGCGCAATCCTGATCACCAGGGATGGGCCGGGTGAGTCCTTTGCATCACGGATTACGAAATCCCGGTCCACTTCCGCTTTGGATGCAGCCTCGCGTTTTCTGAGTTCCCCAAGTGTCCACGCGGGGGCAGTGCAGCGCCACGGCCGAGAGCACCGTGCTGGCTCTGGGCTCTGACCCCACCCGAGAAGGAACAGCAGAGCAGGGAGCTGGCCACCCGGTGGACCCCAGGGTGCGGATGCATGGCCCCCGGGCCTGTCACTGGTCCCGCCCCCAGACGCCACCCGCCTGGCACCTACCGCTCTGTTGATGTGCTTCCTGACCAGGAGGTACAGCACGGGCAGCGTGACGTAGGCCAGCATCTCCCACAGCTTCCCGGTCAGCAGCATCCACAGCACGTGGTCCTCAGCTTCCAGGTCGATCCAGCACCAGCCCACGGACACGTCGGAGGCGTCGTAGCCGATCTTCTTCAGAGTGACGGCCGCTACGGTGATGGCCAGCGGAACCCCCCAGCTGCGGAAGAGCAAGAAGAGGCAGGCACCCAGGTCAGGCTGGCGCTCCCAGCAGCGCGGGCACGGGGTGCTCTGGGGAAGGCAGACGGTGCTCCCCAAGGATCTGACTGTCCTAGAAACACAGGAAGGGCAGGTGTTGCCCGAAGCCGGCTGCTAACGCACAGCTCCCAAGATCCTTGGAGACGGGTGCTGGAATGTGCATGGTGAGGGCTGGATCTGGCCTCCAGCTCCTTCCCCACCCAGAGGGGCCTGGGCACTGGTGTCTGTCCAATCACACACACGCCAACGGTTGCTCCTCCCCCCGCCCCCCGCCCCAGGCCAGCTCTTGGGCTTGCCTGGGGGAGCTCCAGCACCCCTCACACCTGCAGGGTCTGGAGGGGGACCTGTGGGCAGGTGCAGCCATCTGCCTGGGGATGCCCTGCTGTGCCCGGCGGGAGCGTGGCCCGACCAGGGGCAGGCGTGCCCTCGGACGCATAGAGCTCGGGCAGCGCTGGGCTCAGCTTTCTGGAGTCCACCTCCCCAGCAACACAACGGTGAGCAGGTCCAAGCCCCACAGGCCCCTCCCCCAGGGTCCCTGCCCTATCTCCCCCTTACAAGGTAGCTTGAATGGGTTCAGGAGGACCCCGAGAGCTATGTGGGCTCCTGAGGTGGGCAGCACCATGGGCAGTGCGGAGCTCAGATTCTGACCAAGCGAGTCATTTAGCTCCGACAGGCTGGTGTTTTTGGTAAAGCGGGGCTGGGGACAGCGCCTGCAGCAGGGCCAGGCCTGGGCCGCCGTGGAAATACACGAACAAGCACGGGTATGGGCCACTGGCTGCTGTCACCACTGCTGTGAGAGCTGCGTCTTGTTGTCCAGGATTTGGGTCTGGGGTGCAGGTGTTGCGCAAGGCTCAGGTGGCTTCTGCCCACAGGAACAGGACAGCAGTGCGCAGGTCCTGGGTCAGGGGCCTGGGGAACACAGTGGCAGGTGAACAGGACAAGGCTGTCAGCATCACCTGGAACATTTTTAGGTTCAGAAACATATATTTTGAGGGCTCTGGGTCAGGACTGAAAGGAAGTCATGGGTCAACCATGAGGTCAAAGTTCCATGAGCGGTTCGAGTCCCGGCTGCTCCACTTCTAATCCAGCTCTCCGCTGTGGCCTGGGGAAGCAGCAGCAGATGGTCCAAGTCCTTGGGCCCCTGCACCCACGTGGGAGACCCAGAAGAAGCTCCTGGCTCCTGGCTTCGGATCAGCCCAGTGCCGGCTGTTGCAGCCACTTGGGGAGTGAACCAGCGGATGGAAGACCTCTCTCTCTCTCTCTCTCTGCCTCTTCGTTACTCTGCCTTTCAAATAATGATGATGATAAAGTTCCACGTGAATCAGCTGCTGACAGCAGGCTGGGAGAGGTCAGAGCTTCGGCAAGGCCCTCCCAAACTCCACGGGGCCAGCAGGGGGAAGGGCAGGATGAGGATGCAAGAGAGAAAGCGAAGGCCTGGGTGCAGGGAGCCTTCAAAGAGGGGGTGCCCTGGTCCCCTCACTGGGCTCCATGGGGACACGCAGGAGCACCAAGGATGCCGTCACCACTGTCCTCAGTGTCCCCCGCCCCACGAAGTCCCAAAGCACAGGGGAACAGAAGGACCACCAAAGTCAAAGCTCACGAGAAAGGCACCAGGTCTACCAGGAGCTTGTCCTGGTAATGTTTGTTATTTACCTGTTTTATTTGAAAGGCAGACAGGGTGGAGAGAGCCCTTCCATCCCCTGCTTCACTCCCCAAATGCCCTCAGCAGCCAGGCCTGGCCCAGGCGGAAGCCAGGAGCCAGAAGCTTCCTCTGGGTCTCCCACATGGGCGGCAGGAGCCCAGGCCCTTGAGCCGTGCTCTGCTGCTTCCCAGGCACGTGTGCAGGGAGCTGGGGCGGGAAGCAGGCACCCCGACTTCCCCACTGGCCCACACGCCCGCCCTGGGCTGGAACATTGTGAGCACTTGTTCTGTGCAGAGCTGTTTGTCTGGTTAGCATGTCGGTGCCACCCTGGGTCTCTGTAAGAAAGACGTGTCACTGTAGAACTCCCAACACCCGGGACATCAAGACTTCGTAAGTCACACTCTGCACTCCGAGGGACAAAGGGCTTGAAGCCCCAGCATCGGAAACAGCACCTGGCACCGGTGACGCGTGGCGGATGGTTGAATGGAGTCTCAGCCGTTGCCGGCATCCTCGGGAACAGCAAGGACACTGCAGAGGAGGGGACGAGATTCTCGGGGAGCTGAGTGCTGACCCTCGCTTGATGCTCGCAGGACTCCTCTATGGGAGTCTGGGCGGAGACAGCCCTGTGTGTAGGGACAGTCACCCTGAAGGCCAGACACAGGGAGAGTGGCGGGCGCCCATGCTGGCTCCCAGCTCCGGCTCCCAGCTCCTCTCGGGGAGGGGCTCAGGTGGGAGTCCTGCCCCCAACGTGCATCCCCGTGGGCCTTTCCAGAAAAACCCGGGGCCCACAGAGCCACAGGCCCACACCCTCCAGTTTGGGGTTTATATGCCAGTGCTACCCAGTGATACATCTCCACGGCATTGCGAGGGTGTGCCTGGAGCTGAGCGGGTGTTGGGAAACAGCCAGCGAGGAGAGCGACTAGGGAGAGGGTTTTCAAAGGGTCAAGGGCGTGGGCGTGATCGCTCTGGTTGTGTGAACTTGAGCAGAGATTACAGCAGCCACGCTGGGCGCAGAACCTGCTCCGGGAGGTGTTTCAGTGGGAGGTGCTCGGAGGGAGTATCCCGGAGTCTGTGAGAGTGGAGTAGGAGGAGAGAGCAGGCTGGGCTGGACCGGTCAGCAGTGGGCAGGCAGCGGGAGCAGGCATGGCTTCATAACCAGCTCTTAGGAGTGCAGACCATGGCTCAAGGACTTGGGGCCCTGCCACCAGCTTGGGAGACCTGGATTGAGCTCCAGGCTCCTGGCTTCGGCCTGCCCAGCCCTGGCTGTCATGGGCAGTCGGGGAGTGAACCAGGGCTGTGTCTGAAATGAAATAATTTTTAAAAAGTTAAAGGTGTTCTAAATCTCACCGATGCCAATGATAAGAAAGCAGACAATGCTCCTTACTGCCAATCCCACCTCGGCGCCGGACCCTCACCAATGTTTTTGTCGGTCTTTTGGCCCAACCTGGGTACCCACAGCCCACCTCGGCATGTGCTCTGCCCAGGAGAGCATCATGGGAAGTTAGCTGGTGCTTTCAGTTTTCTTAATGCAGTGAGAAGGAAGTAAGAAAGCACCGAGCCCGGCTGGCCGGTCACCGCCTGGTGGCACCGCGACTTCTCTGCATGGGGTAGAAGCCGTTCCCACCTCTTCCGCAGCTGCCCCTGGGCTCCTGGCTTCCTCCTTGGCTCTGCAGGGTGCCTGTCTGTGCCACTAACATTTTCTCTATCACTTTCCTAACTCCAGATCAGCAAATCCTAGCCAAGGCCTACTTTCTTCAAATAAAGTTTTATTACAGCACGCCCAGCCCTGTTCATGTACATATCAGGTGAGGTGAGACGTCAGAACCCAGAGGGCACTGACCTTGACCGCGGGGCTGAAAATACTCTCAGATGCTTTATGGGAGAGGCTGGGTGGCCACTGCTCTGCACAACCAACAAAGCAATGATCTGCAATTTAATTTTTAAAAAGATTTACTTATTTATTTTATTTGAAAGACAGAGTGATGAGAGAGAGAGAGAGAGAGAGAGAGAGAGATCTTCCATCTGCTGATTCACTCCCCAAATGACCTTAAGGGCTGGAGCCGGACCAGGCAGGAACCCAGAACTCCACTGGGGTCTCCCGTGTGGGTGGCAGGGGCTCAGGTACTTGGGATCCTCAGCTTCCCTCCCGGACGCATTAGCAGGGAGCTGGCTGGGAAGTGGAGCAGCCAAACTTGAACCAGTGCTCCCATGGGATGCCGGTAACGCAGGTGGCGGCTGAACCGGGGCACCACAGTGTCGGCTGCTGTGATTTGATTTTTAAATACTGGCTGCGTCTAACAATCAGCTCCCAGAATTCCCTACAATTAGACCTCTAGAGCGTGACTTTAGGACGCCACCGGGCAGAGGGCCAAAAGGGGGACTTTTGGAGGTGCCCCTGGTTCTTGAAACATAGGGCGAGGACAGAGTCTGTTTTTGGGACTCTCAGAGGAAGCTGAGCTGTCTCTGGCCAGGGCGCAGCCTGAGCTGCAGGGGGCTGAATCCTGCAGGTGCTCCGCTCACAGGTGCAGTGGAATTCCTGTTTCCGCACCTCCAGTTCTCCAAAGCCCAAACAGGCCCGATGTAGCCTAGTAGCAGTGCACGTGGAGAGGCCCAAGGGTGGGGCTGATCACTGCCTGGAAACGGCTGGGGCCCAAGGGGTCTCCCTGACACCCACATGTGGGTGGCCCAGAACAGCCAGGGGGCTGCCAGCCTGTGTGTGTGAACCCCTGCTGCCCACACGCTAAACCAAGACTGGCAAGTCGGCGCCCCAGCCTGTCACCTGGGGAGCAGGTGGGGAGATGCTAGGCCTTAAGCTATCCACGAATATTTTACAAATGTTGAAGAGGCCCCAGCAGGGATTAGCTAGCTAGCAGAGGGACAGCAGGGAGCACTGCTCATCCCCAGACCCCAGACTGGGTGTGACCATGTTGGGGGGGGGGGTGCCAGGACAGGTGCTGGAAGAGGGCCCTGGCCCCCAAGGCCCTTGCTTTCCAGACTTGGGGTCTGCCTAGACAGGATGCCTAGAATCTGCACACAGAGTGGGGTTCTGACAGCTCCTGCCGGACGGATGTGCTGGCCCCAGCTCTGAGCTGTGTGCTTGGGAACTGAGGTCAGCCGCTGTGGCCACGTCTGCCCCAGGAGGCAGCTATGGGCTGAGTTATGTCTCCCCGGCACTCCTCTGTTGAAGTCCTGATGCTCCCAACCTCAGAAGGAGCCTGGGTGTCAGACAGGCTCTTTCAAGGGGTGATTCAATTAAGATGAGGTCAAGAGAGGGAGCCTTAACCCAGGGTGCCTGCATCTGTACACGGAAAAAGGCAAGG